CAAACTATTGCATCGAACTTGCGGCATGCAAAATTTGTAGCAAGACGGTAAGATGCAAGAGGTGCGGGCGATTTTTAACGGTGGCATACTGCGGACAAGAGCATCAAAAGGCGGATTAGAAGGTTCATAAGAAAACCTGCAAGCGCTATTCATAGTCTCAATGGCTGGTCGGGGAGTTTTGTATCTTGTTTGGCATCCACAATTCTCGAGGGTATTTCGCAAGCGGTTCTAATATTTACTGGGAGGATTGCGCGTGCGATGCGGGCGTGGCAAGGGCGACGTTTGACCTTGGTTGGGACTGAGAGTAGTCGCAGCGCGGTCAGATACCGGTCCTTGGTCTCCCGCGGAATCATCGGGGTCTGGCTGGGAATGGTCGGAAAGCTCCTCAGAGCCGCCAGCGGCATCGCTATATTCGGTAGCATCACTATAAGTGGTGGCATCGCCATCCTCGTCGCCATCGTCCTCCTCATCGTCATCTCAAGCTGCCACTATGGTGGAAGTTGTTGGGGAATGTCGCGGTCTCTTCGACGGGGTCTCGTCGGGTCGGCGCTAGAGAATGAGGATGTGCCGAACTAGATGCGGGTGGAGTGGGCGGAATGCAAGTTGATGGTGCCGGGCTGGCCTTTCGTTTCCTGGTAGATGTAAACCTGGCCAGGGCCTCGTCATGGTCGGAGGACTTGGTGGCCGAACGGCTGGGCGTCGTCGGCAGTAACGGTGCTGTTGATGCTTGGCCTGACTTGACCCTGTCGGGAAAGGACCAAGTGTCGGGAACAACAATGAAGACATAGTCCTGCTCCAGATCTGGTGCACGCGTCATGGAGTGTCAGACAACTGGCTCCACAGGGATCACAGTTGGCATCGTGTTAATTGATGAGAATTATCTTGAAGAGCTATCTGCAAGCGCACGACAGTGCGCTGCTCTTTATACACAAAGGAAATATTTGCTTTGTGGTGCAAAGTCCCTGCAATTGAAGCTGGTGTGCAAATATATGCAACCAGTGTTTGAGCTTTGACCTCAACCGAAGTCAAAGCACATCGCGTGCAGGCGCTCGACCTTAACACACGGATTATAGCATCGGTTTCCGCAGGCAAATCTTCTCAGTGCAGATGTTATGCAACATGAGGTTTGCTCTATGTGCGACAGGGATGCATTCAAAGGGGCGACCCTCCCCTTCCAGACGACTGGCATCACACTTTGATCCCTTCGCCATCTGCATTCGAGTGTGGCCAAAGCCATGTCGACGAAGTCCACCAAATGTCAATGCCCTGAGCAATTGCGAGTCGAGCCAAATGTAATGGGTATGAGAGCGGCAAGTACGAGGAGCGCGACAGAGAGATCGGAGTTACGAGGTACTAGTCGAAGTAACTAGCCGAGCAAGACGCGGTCCTGTACATCTATTCGGTATGGGTATTGCCCTCCTTTGTCGAGTTGTCTCCGTTCTGATCGATCCTCCAGATGGAATTGGAACAGGACCGACCCTCGAGATGGCTTTGAGGAGTGCAGAAACGTGTGCTCTGCGAGGGGTCAAAAGCTCCCGACATCTTCGAGTTGATGGATTTCTGGAGGTTCTACAAGGACCAATCAACTGGAAATCTTGGTAAACATGCCAGTGTCAATTCCCTCCCGGCTCCCGCGAAACAATTCGACGCCGCCTTTAAGCGTCTCACGGGACGGAGGTCAGAGATGAGAAGATCGCAGGGGTCAACCATGTATGTGTACTCGTCATGCCACCGTACGCGGGAACAAAGCAAGACTGCCGTTGCCGTAGGTTTATCAGCCGAACAGGCAAGGCCCACGTGCCGTGCTTTGGTCGGCGACATATCCGATGTCGTTGTACTGAGCGGATAAGTTGCAGTCGCCTAGGGAAGCGTCATATATGATGCAGTCCTGATGAAACAGATCCATTGGCTCGGACTTGGTTCCAAGGGACTTCCACATCCAGGCACAGCACTCCAGGTGTCAGCGGAGAATGAACCGGACCCAGCGTTGCTTAATGCAGACCGTCCAAGGGAACGCGCCATGCCTACGATGGCCTTTCCCAAGCGCGAATACGCCCTGAATTTCCAATGTCACAAAGGCGGCAAGGCATCGCCGAGCCCTCACGCAGTCATGCAGGTCACTCCGCCATGATAGATCCGCGGCGTGTGTGTAACAGGCCCGCATGGTCCTGTCGTGCTTTGGGTTTGTGTCCAGGCGGGCGCTGCTGCATGTGGTCCAGGCTCTCTAGGGACTGGATGCTCCCACTCCGTAACATGCGCCAATGACGGAGCTGACCTCACATGTACGAGTTCGATCAGGTCCAGGACAATCCTGTACGCGAAGCACCAGCCATGTCAGGCAGATAAAGTGCTGCCCCTGATGGGTCCTCGACATGCGTACTGGCGGGGTGGTGGCATACGCGCACTAAACACGCGCTTATCACCCGCTGTAGCTCACGGGCCATAGCCCAAGGCGCACGAAGTGGCCTGGACCCGCTTCTCCCAGGGAACGCAAGGTTTTCCCTTCCACGCAACGCTTTCCCTTCCACGCAACGCTTTCCCTTCCGCGCAACATTCTCCCTTCCGCGCAACGCCCACGCAACGCTCATTCAAGCCCACGTAATCTCAAGCCCCTCGCGCGACCAGCGACGCCGTCCAGGACTTGCGAGTCTCCTCCTGACCAAGGATACGAGATCGGAGCTTGCTATCATGGGACCCGTGCTCTGCATTTGTGGGCAACTCTACACAGCAAGTGGCCACAGAGTCATCGGAAGAAGGCACACGTTCGTTGTTGCGCAACTCTCTTCGTTGGCGAGGCGTGGCTGAAAGACCACAACACAACAGGCCATAACGGTGAAAAAGTGAGCACGTGGACAAAGAGAAAGGCTCGTTATCGTGAGAAGGTAGAGTGTGAGCTCGGGTGCGGGTTGGCTCTCCAACGTGACAGGATGAAAAGACATCACAAATCAGAGCACTATAGATGCACCGAGTGCGATCGAATATTCATCTCCACCGGCAAGAAAGAGCACGAGCACAGCACTAAGCACGTTTCTTACATGCTGGTTCCTTCACTTGACCGGGAGCACGCAGGTGCTGCGGCGGCGGCAAACACCATATAAAACTGGCCCAGGTCAAGGAGACGCAAAAATCCAACTTGCGTCCTCGCAGACACGAATCGTTAGTCTCATCTTAATAAAGAGACGAGCAAGAAATACTTTCGTGCATAGTCCAGGGATATCAGATACCCCACAGCTGGATCACAGCGGCGCATACCGCCAGGCATTGAAGATCACATGGGAGCCCAATAGATCGAATGTGCCAGGCTATCGACTCTCGATAAACTTTATCTTCAGAACTACATTGCGCAGAACTGTTCCAGTAAACAGCAGTATGCCACAATGCTTCGTACTGGTCGCGCTGCTTGAGCACACGTCCAGAACAGCTTGCTGCGTCAGTACCCTGCAGAACAGACAATGACACAATAAATGCTCGCAGTCGGCCGTGTGCTGCCCTTTTGCACGGCCGCGTGCCAATAGGTTGCAGCCATGATGCGTGCGGCTGTTTTCGCAATCGAGATCGGTGGTGTATCGAGGACGAAGGCGCGGCCACCCTCCGCGAGAGCTAGTAGCATTTCGCAAACTTCGATGCCTCTTTTTCCTACCACGACGGATGAGGTTTAGGTACAGCGCGGCAGTACGTAGGCAGCTGATGGACCGAGAAAGACCGCATCGCAAAAGTTGGGTGTGGGCAATACGAACGTACCCCATCGGCTCAGGTCAAGACGTCAACGACCTGGCGGCACGGCAGCACTCTCCAAGTCGCCACAAAGGAAGGCCACAGACAAATTGTGCAACTTTTGGAGCCGTGACAGCCCGCACTTGCTGTAATTACGGACAATGTTCCATCCCCAGCCGAGGACAGGAAAGGGAGTTTGTGTATGTGGCCGGCTGTGCGGTGGTGTGGAGGCTGTGAGCAATCGGCCAAATCCCGTGCGCCCTTGCGCACCGAAGGTGCGCAGACAGATACTGTATTGTAGGCTCCATAAGACCGGCTAAGGAGAAGCATGAATTGGCCCATGTGGTACAGTTGTCCGGTAGAGACTTTTCATTCCACACCGGCATTGCCATAGAGCCGGGGCGAGTTGTGGCATTGTGGAAACACGCGCCCAGTTCTGTATGGACATGGAGTAAGTGGACAGCCTACCAGACCCAGTCGCCGCTTTCTGGGCGTCGTTGAGCGGTGTCTCCCGCTGCCTTGTCTTCCTGTTCCTGACAAGCAGACCACACCATTGACGTGTGGTCAGGTGTGGTCAATCTGGCCTGCGCAATCAGAAAGAAGAATATGGATATGGGGCTGCATCCAGATGGGGGGCAGCATGGCACTCCGTGCCTTGCGTAGACAGCGTCGCCCAACTCGTGTCATGCTCGCTAATTGGGATTCGCGTATGGTGTGCCAGGGCCACGTGCTGTGCGAACGTTGGGGGTACGCCGACAGTTTCGACATCAGATTACTCTTTCAAGAGCGTGCGATAGTTGCTTGCATCCCATTTCGTCCGCTCTCTGACGTGGTCGATCACTAGTCCATCAGTGAAGTGGAAGATGTAAGTGGATGCGGGGGTGGGGGACCGTCTTCGTCTGATGCCTGAGGTGCAGACCACCAAGGGCAGGGGACATGCGCCGACCAAGTCCCTGCGCCGACCAATTCTTTCTGCGTCGTGTTGGCAGCTACAGTACATGTCGGTTTCTCGACATTGCTACGTAGCGGCAGCCAGAACGCGCCGTGCAGATCATTGCGACGCAGGGGGAAACGGCTTCTAGTTCTTGCGTCACGTGTGGCAGCTTCAGTACATGTCAGCTTCTCACCGTCGTGCAGGGTGACGACTAGTTCTGCTATGTAGCGCACTGCGAAGTCGCGGCGGCCGGGTCGTCCGCCTGGGCCATCGATAGTTAGATCCGGACGAAGGTCGCCATGCGGCGGAAGACGGACACAAGATGCCATGGGTGCTGGTTCGTCCAATTCCTTCATATGCACGCCGTCGTCCTTTTCAGATAGCCGCTGTTGATGTGGAGGACTTGGCGTGCGTCCATGCTGTAACCGTTCTCCACAACGGCAATCTTGGCCTCCAACAGTGGGCTCCGCAGACTCCACCCAACGCGGTCAATAAGTCGCCAGGCGTAAGAATCCATGTCACCGCTGATCTGCACATCCAAATTCGCACGTCAGGAAATGGGCAACTAAAGCCCCGCATCAGTGATTTGCACCAGGATTCAGACGACGCAACTGAAAGTTGCACGCAACGCAGGAGATCGATACTTGACTGCAGCAAATTGCCGACACGATGTTTCGGACGCAAACTGGGCACCAAGAAATGGGATCAAGAAATGGTGACACAAGACAGTTGACATCCGGATAGACGAAATAGTCATGCGACGTTGACCACAAAGGCGTTCCCCTTGTGGGTGTCGGCGATATAGGGCACCGCAAGCCTGTCGCATCGTGGCATTCAAGAACAAGTGGACATTGAGTCGGTCATGTTCTCGGAAGCCATTATGGACCTGCATCTGTACTGCATCATGCCCAACACATCAGCCTTCTTTGCATGAGGAAAAATGGGTTGGACGGCACCTGCGGCGTCGTCCACACAGTTGCTGGAGGAAATTTGTCGCTGGAGGAAACGGTCGGTGGAAACCTGTCATCTAGCGGGGCTGAAGGTGGAACAGCCCTCATTGTACAGTCGTCCCTGTGGGTTAATTTGCTTGCCCAGTCGTGTCTCAGTGTATCACGGTAGCGGTAGCGTCTGACGTGGCGGTCTCGTCTAGAACACAAAAAACCGACCTGGAGCACAGGAGCCAAGTGGACTTGAAAACTACGACATAGCCGAGAAATCTCCCAGGCAGAAGTGTGGAATTGTAACAGGCCATTAAGACACAATATCGGAGAGAATGGATAATATCCAATCCAGTTCAAACGGATCAAGAATGTACGTTGACAGCGCTCATCATAAGTCACATCAATGTTGGACTTGAAGTTGATATCATTGACAGGTTCCAGAGGATCTATAATGACACTTTGCAATTCTGCGCCCTTTCTGACGCCGTTTGCGGTATAACAAGCCGCAAACGTTGCAGAGACTTCTCATGCCGTCCGGCCCCAGCCGCCACTGAGGCGTGCTTGTTGCGGCGCACGCTTTACATGACTGATCAGTGTCCGAATCCTATAAAATAGTTTCGTCAATGCTAGCAGTCTCGATGTGTGACATTGCTGCATACCTTTCGACGGGGGCGACCGTGCGTTAAGTGTCGTAGGCAATCTTTCCCTGAGGCACTGCCAAGATGTCCGGCCCAAGTAGCTTTACGATTGCCATCTCTCACATGATGACCCTTTCTCTCACTGCTAGTGAATGTTTGAAGGCTGAAAAGCCTGTCTAGTTGGTGGTTGATATTGTAGCAGAGTGATCTTATAGCCCACAATTCGTCGTCGGTGATCGTTCCAAGGAGTGGATCTGTAAAGCTGCCAAAGTCCTCCAACAAGGTAATAAGATCCACGGCAGTCTGTTTGATCTTTGACGTATCAGTTTGACCGATGCGCCAATAGTGGGGAGGGTAGGAGCGCCTCACCTTCTCAAGACATTGTCCCTGTTGCAGTGTACTTGAGACGAGGTTGGGGCTTGCCCAACGCCAAGCGGGATCCGCATCTACCGTTACGGACATGGACTGCCGTTGTAGTGCACAGACGGCTCATGCCAAATGGACTGTTCGCCGGTAGGTGCATAGATGAAGAGACGCACCAACTTTTCCGATCGCCCAGACTGCGATGGATCTCGGGCCGAACATACCGACAGAGACTGGGAGCACCGTCCGCGTATCCTGGCCACAGCACGGCTATAGATCATGGGCAACTGTGGGGTGGCAAAGTTTCATGCGGAGGCGCTATATCAAGCTTCGGAGGTTGAGCTTCTTTTGCCCTATGCCTTGAAAGAGGCTAGGCTGAGGAACGCCACCGGAGCTTTTGCTCCGCACTCCGCGGAAGTCGACCGCGGGTACCTCATGGCCAAGCTTGCGAAATCTAGTAGCCAGGAAACGAGCAGCGAGCACGGCTTCCCCTTATTACCACTACGATGTAGCAGAGTTCATCGAGCTCTAAGGATTAGCTGTTATCTGGGACGCAGGCTGGGCATGACAATAATGATCGGACGGAAATGGGCATCAAGAAATAGTGTGACAGGGCAATTGATACCCTTCTTGACATGGCACCGGATGGATAAACCGGTGATGCGACATTGACCACAAAGGCGTTCCGCTTCTGGCAGTCGACGACGAATGGATACCTGTCGGGACTTGTGGCCTACGCAGTGGCCGTTGCTGAAGCGAGCGCAAGGCGCTGCTGGTGGTGATGGTGAAGGCGTGCCGTACTATACGGCCATCCGTGCTTGATACGCCGCATTTCACTCGCGGCGGAGCGGACGATCATTTCCTTGACATGAGAATATCCAGATGAGCCACGTGCTACAATGGCTTCGCCAACAATTGGGTCATTACCACACTGTGGCGTCCAATTCGTGACCCTGCTCGAACCTTCCTGGAGAGGGTGAGCTACGGGAGGGGTGGGACACATACGACAGCACACGCTCGCGGCCTGGCCAGTGACGTCAGCAGCGTCAACAATCTGCTTCGACTCAATGAACACAGCACTTATGCTTCGCACTCCCTCTCCGCCGACCAGTCGTCGCTATTTGACAGATCTAAGTGACGGCAAATAGCACTGTACTAACAATTACAAGCTAGTTTGTGTCTTCAATTGTTCCGGGAGCTATACTAACTGCATACCGAAGCCAGCTTAGCCACTGAGCAAGTGGTGGTCCGGGCTATTATCAAACTTCTTCCCTCTGGCTAGTTCATCATTCGCTCTTGCCCTCTGGCTGCAACGGCTCCGTACGTGAAGAAATACGAGCCCGACCCCGCTCTGGCGTTCACACGTCGTCCGCTGCCGTATAATGTATATATTCGTACATCCCCACGGCATTCCGCTCAATGGACCCGAACCCCCTTCATCTAATTCTCGGACACACGGCACAGACAGCGAACGAGTCCGCCCGTTTCCAAGAACGAGAAAGGGGGGCGACGTTACCCCAGGCACATCACATCATACCGCCCAACGTAAAGGAGACGAGACAGGCACAGGCAAAACATGTCTTCCCAAATCCCGCCTAACGAGCCTGCTGGTGGAGAACGTGAAGGCACTGGTCGCCGCCGGAGCTCCGTCACTCATTTTGCCCTCTTCAACCCCTTCCAGTGTGGGCCATCGAATGACTTCTCATTCGCCGGGCCCGTTCATTATCCACAGATACGCCGTATTTCTACCACTGCGATCGGTCTGTCAGGTACTTCGCCTACAGGCCCAGCCGTCTTTGGCATGCGCCGAGGCAGCGTGTCTAGCAACTCTGATTCATCTCATGACAGTACTATCGAGGGACACGAATTGTCGGAAGAAACAACTCAATCAACTTCTACTACACCTTTCGTACGCCGCATGAGTCTCGGCCAGTCTCCGATCGCGGGATGCCGTCTGGAGCGAGATCCTCGCAATGGTGAGTACCCCCACAGCTCCTATGTCACCCGGAAGAATACCGGCATTTGCAAAGGGTCAGGGCTTGACCGTCTCGGCCTGTGTTCACCGACGCGGCGGCAAGCCATGACATAGTTACCCTCTCCGGCGCTTCTCACGGGGACGCACCCGCGGTATCCATGAGCCTCGCCTGACTGTCACGTCTCGCGCAGATCAGGGAACCTTCAACTGGTCAGAACAGCTTAGGTCTCGGGCCCAGAGCTTGGCCGCCGGTGGTCGTCGCTCTTCGATTGACTCCCGGCGCCCGCATGGGGTCTTCCACCACAGTCGCGCCCAGTCTGTACCCGATACCGGTCGGACGTCCGCTCAGACAGCGTCTGCCAAAACGACAGAGGAGCCTCGAAAGCCAGATTCTTTCCAGGAGAGGATACTGAAGGGCGATTTCTACATGGACTGATATGGGCGATTTGTCACATGGCTGATAACCACTCTACGCCAGAGGAACACCATAGCAGAGACATGGTCAGTTCCTGCCTTGTTGCTGAAAAGTACATTTGATAGTCCTAGCTGAGTTATCGCCCCGTTACCTCTTGCTATACTAATACGCGGCCATTGAGGTTTACCGCACACTTTCATTACATAGAACAATCAAGGATCTGCGATGGCCGATCTTCAACCCCGTCACATGTAATGCATCCGGTCCGCGAGACATCATCATTCTGCCTTCCAGGGCACGGGAAACCCTCACGGACTGCGGGAGGACATTTACAAGTACAGGCATGCTTAATTCCTATAATGATTAATTCGGATCTGTGCTAGTCAAATGACTTCTGTTGGCGCGGGCTGTTCCAGACCAGCCGGCGCAGCGAGGACAGTCATCCAGGACTTCCCTGCATCTCACCTCCAATGCGATGACCCCTAGCCACAGTTGTGCGCCTCGTCGATGTGGGTGCGTGCGGATTTCGCCCTAGACAGAGACTGAAAGCGGAGCCGTTCACTCTCCACACATCTCTTGGTAGTACTGTAGTCAGAGTTCGATTGAGTTTTTTTCGCTGTTACGTCGTCCTGTTGTGACAGCAGACCATGGGTACAGACTGCAGCTCCAGTGCACGTGTTCCTGTGACAGAGCTCAGGTGCAGCTCCATTTCTCTGCTAAGGGTATTTGAGAGGAAGCAACAATGATCTCGATAAACATGATGCGTTTCTGGAGCGCATGGAATTGGCGTATAGTGCGGCATGGTGAAGCGAGCCACGGACTAATTACGATGAGAGCGTTCTGCCACAGTTGCCCTGGCCGAGTCCGATCTGCCACTGCGGGCCATAGCTTTTTCGAGTGGTTGGGGAAGGGGCGACGCTCGTTATCAGGAACAGGGCTGAATCATGCTGGAGCCTTTCTGTCATGTTAAAGGCGATAGGAAACAAGTAACTGAGCCCAGCTAGCAATATTACCCCATCCTGGCGGAGGAAAAATGTTTTCTCTGTGCCCTACTGTGGTCTAATAATGCCTACGAGGATACCTAGAGTAGCAGATTGCATGTTGTCGTGGCCCCAACAGGGTCGGCCATAACGCAGTCGCACACCACGTCCAATTCCCAGAGCAACTCTTGAAGAGAGTGACAGTTCCAGGCTTTGTAGGTGGCTTCATCATCGATACCCAGGCGTCTGCGGTCGGAGTATTTGATGCGAACCCCATGTAAAGCCGCTTGTTGGGCAAGGTGCTTTCTGAGGTGCCCATACCAGACATGCCCAGGACCGTCCTAGGCGGATCCCTAGCCAGGGCTGCGTTGTTCCGTAGCGTCTCATTGTGGAAATCCTCGTATGCATAGAGCAAACTTTGCACGGTGGCTAGAAGTAAGGTAATGAACAATTTCAAGGTCGATTCGCCTGCCCTGCTAGGGATGTTCCTTGGAGGTGGGCTGTTGCAGTGAGCAGCGCTGCTGCGCTTCATCCGCTCAACGGCAGATGATCTGGAACCAGGGGCCACCGAGAGGACGATGCGGCAGCTGTGGAGCAGGAGCTGAAGGAACTTGCTCTCGAACGGCTGAAAATGAGCGATGCCCAGAGATACGATGCATGCATCAATTTGCCTACCGCCATGCATCAGGGTCGGAACTTTCGTAATCAGTTCATCGTATGCGGCTGCGACTAGCATCTGTTGTCTGTGCGTTAGTTAACCTGACACAATACTGGGACTACCATTAAAAGACACGTGCCGTGAGGTCACAGCTGCCAACACGTTTGAACTCCTTTGCATATATCGTCACCGCTCGGTCGCCAAAGCCAATGACCAACAGTCTCAGTTTGGTAGCAGCTCGATCGGAGGGCATTTCGTCTCTTCGTAGGTCTATCTCTGTAAGGTGCTTCTGTGCCGACGTCGGACACCGGCACGGGAGATGTTCGGAGGCTGGCAACAAGAGTTTGTTAAAAGGCGCCGGTGGCAAACGCTAGTGTGCTGTGGAGATTGATGTTGAAAGAATATAGTGGGACTCCATGTCCCCGTGTTGTCAGCCCATCACAGATTGTTGGATTCTTCCTCCTCCTGGAGAGCAGTCCCTGACACTAAATTGACAGTTTTGCTACCTGGACGGGCCTAGAGTGCCTAATGTGCCCCTAGTCCAACAACAAACGCGCTATCGGACTGAAAATGTACCCGCGGCAACGGACGGACAGAAGACATCAGAGGCCTCCGACCGGTTCTCTCGTTCTGTCGATGGCGACGTACGAGAAGATATGTCGTTCGTATTCAAATAATATACAATATCTCGCGAGCGTAAGGACTGGGCACCCGTTAAATATATGCCTCTGGTGTGCTGGGAACCCATCTTTAACAGGCCAGGCCCGTATATGCCTGGGTTCGAACTTGGCCAGGTCCGCATATCTGCTCTCACCTTCTTTCCCTTCTCCTCAAACCAGATTACTCCTAGTAGCCAGTTGTCAAAACAGTCAGTTGAGGCCGTTTTATACCATTGACGCCGAGGGGTGAATTTAGATCATGTAAACCTTGATGCGCTGGCTTTTTACGGTGACCACCTCCATTACTACGGAGGATATCCACAATGTGATAATACCTCTCGAAGATGAGCTACAAGCCACGTCTAGTCTCATCCCTCCTCAATAATCGGAGGCAAGGTCGTTGGGGACAAGCCCATACTGCTGTGGAACAAAACCTTTTTGCGCTTGCGATACTCTCTTCGTCCTGTTAGGCCTATTGCCATGGCGAAGCTGCCTTGTCCGCCTTGTCCTGGATTTCGGATCAGGCCTTGCACATGAAAATGTGTCTTTAGCGCGGCGGTAGGCATCTCAGTCTGAGAAACATTCGGCGATGCTACGGCTGGAGAAGGCGAGAAGTTGGGTCCGATACTGGTATCGACGGCATGTATGACGGGCAGATTACCTAGGCGGGTTGTCAGCCTGCCGCTTACTTACGTGGATGCCTCTACGCAGACCGGCAGAGGAATCACCAGGGACTTCCATCGATCCAACGGGCATCTTGGTGCAGGCGTCGGCCTCTTGTTCACCATTGTGCCGGACTTGGAAGCCAGCCTCGGCGTCGGATAGGCTCAAGCCTAACTCATGTTTCATCGTTGACATTTTGTCAGGCCCCTATCGACTATAGGGGTGTTGCTGCATCTGGGCTATTCGAACGATATTCTGCCGAGATTGTGACAGCGCGCGTGAACCGATGCAAAATGCTGGAGCTCCCTGATATTGCGGGACACTGCGGCGAGCAGATTGAAGGAGCGGTTGTCGTCGGACGGGTCACAAAAAAGGTCAAACAATGCGGAGTCTCGTTTGTCTTTACTTACGTATCTTTAGAAGCTTGGTACGGACAGCATTCTAGCTGATCGCGTGTCCGTACCAATCTGAGAATTCTGACGGGCTCAGACAGATTTGAAGGCTGCCTAAGACGACTGAGTTCACGCTGTCGTGGCGACAGTACTCGATCCTGGTGTGTGACTGTGGGCGCAAAACGCTCGAACATGCCCGTTTGTGCAGTTGAATGGCTCACCCCGGACGCATCGAACAAAACTAATGCTGCAGAGGGCAAGCTGGATGATCATTTCCGGAGAGAAAAGGCTGCCGCCACAGTTTTGGTGCCTTATGCTGACTGGTGGTGGGGATGATTATTGCCTTGGCCATTAGGGACCATTAGGAGCACAACTTGCAGACCTTGCCCGAGCAGTGGTCCGGTGGATAGCCAGGCCCACCATACTTCCTCATACTTTTGCCTCCCACTCGTCGCCCCAATCCGGAGCTCCGGATGACCGGGATAGCCCTTCAAAGTGGCGGTTCTGTTGGTAGGAGAGCATGGTTCAATTGGTCGTATTTATGCAATGGTCGAGACGCTTCAGTCACATAGGGCGCAATGCTAGAGCCCTGTGGTGGAGGCCTACTTACCTTCAAATCAATCCGAAGCCGCTCGCTGATAAAGTACCAAATAGCGCTGCTGCTGCTTACCTATAGTGGCGATAACTGTAGCAATCCGACTACTGCTTGTCATTTCTCGTCTGCTCACTCGGTGACAGTCCTCACATCGCTACATATAAGCAAGGGCTTCCGATGTCCGATCCGCAGGGAAACTCCTACCCGATCATACATAATGTATGGCAATGTAATGTAATGTACTTTATTTACGCCCGGAGGGGTTATCCCTAGAGGGCCATACCGGTGCGCTGTTTGCTCATACTACCCTGAAGGCCGTACACCTAAAGCCCAACACTGGTTTTCTTTCCTGGCACCTGCAGCCTCATTCCGCGAACCGACAGCCCTGCCCTGAGGTCATTCCCCCAGGGTGCCCAGCGTCCCATCCTCGGCAGCTGGGGCTCGGTCGTTCAGTGCGAGGCTGCGCGGCTAAGATGTTGCGCGCTGACACCAGTCCTCTAGTCCAATTTATCGCTGGTTCGCCTGTTCCTGTTCATCTGTGTGCCTCTAGCCTTCCTGTTGCCATTGCAAATTTAATCATCGTTCGGACAGCAGGGCGACTGATACATGGGCATCTGGGTGCCCAAAAAACATGTCAGCGCACCAACCTTTACTGGCTTGGCCGCTGTAACTTAGCGCATTTGCGTCCCCACGATGCCAGACACAGAACCGCCCAGGCCGCTCTGATGACGCCCTCCCGCCAGAAACCCGCGAGTCCCGCGAAGCTCTCTTAACGGCGATCCAATGACTGGGCTAAATCTCGTGGATATGGAGTGCCATGGGAATATCACTGAGGACTAAATAGCCAGGTTCAAGTTATGTTCGCTTATGATCGAAGCAAGCAGCCGTCGAGCGTTTCTCACATGGACCAAGCATTCGCGAGACTGGGTGCTGAGCCCATCGTCTGAATCCAAAATGTGGTAAGCACAACCACCCACCGACGCGCAACCTGACGAATGGTGCTGCACTTGGTGTGCTCCGCCGCGAGATTCAGGCAGGGGGCCCTGAAAATACAGTGGTCAAGCCAGTGAAGGTAGGCGCGCTGACATGTTTTTTTGGGACAGGTGCCCTGTCGCCATTGCTTCACAATGAATGACATTTGGAACCAACGGTATGCCAAGGTCAATTCCACCTCAACGCAACATCGATACACTGTCGCACGGCCGGATTTACTAGGTGAATATCGGCAATGCCGCCCCTCTCTTTGACGACTAATTTAGGACGGCGGACTCCAACCACCTTCTCGTCAACAAATAAACCAACGGCACCGATCGCCGGCCATCTTGTTTCAATAACGGCCACGGTAGACAATCAGTAGAAATTTGCCTCTTGACGCGCTCATTAGTCACTCCGGTGGCGACCACGGCGATCCGCATGGCATGGGCAATAACGGGAGCTGTTAAGGCTATGCGAGCGGAGTCAGGCGGACTGTCGAAGGCTGTTACCCATGAGCTCGACAGGTTCGGGAGCATGTGGCTGCGAAAGAGACCGCACGCTTGACTATCGTGGTCGCAGGAAAGCAACACCAGGTCGAACTTTGGCAGGAGGACTGCATCACGTTTTGCGAAGTCAGCGACGAGTGCCTGCTCATACTCGTATGCGAGCGTTTGCACATCTCCCAGGTGCGCCGGGTCGATGGTCCGTATTATAGGCCGCTTGTCAGCGGGAAGCTTCTCCAACAGCTCCCTTTTAAGAAGCGCGTAGTTCGAATCTGAATGGTCTAAGGGGACAGCGCGCTCGTCCGTGAAGAAAATCGACCAATTGTGGATCTCGATCTCATCATCAGGGTTCGCCGAGGCATGCGAGAGAAGCGCAGTGGCGAGGATCTTGGGCAGAGCGTCTCCGGAGACGGCGACATTGAATCTCCTGCGTCGGGTAAAACTGACGATCTGCGCGTCGTAGATATAGGATCGTAACGCCCCTGCCAGAGCATTGTCGTCGGGGAATGTGTAGACGCTTGGCTCCGAAACGGGCATTACTAGGGTTTTGATGCTTTCGCAGCTTGTTTTGGCAATAGGCACGCATAAATGCCCAACTCGCATAGTGGACAGCACTGGCCAGGACGTTGATGTTTGGTCATGCAGGGTTCTTGGAGACAAATGTGGGCAAGAGCACCTTGATATGTGAGACTTATCAGGTATCAGTTGATGGTGGCGAACCATTGCAACCAATATTAATAGCGTGGGATAATTAGCTTTCGTATTCCCAGCACGGCTAGCTGAGGTTGCGGATCACAGGCATTATTGCAGATCATGCGTCCGGAAACATTCTAATCTTATTCCGGTCTGTCCTTCGTGCAGAGCGCCTTAGCAGTAGGTGGTTGCAATCGTCACGGCGCCATTGACCCGAACAAGACATCTCGGCTCCGCTCTCGACTGGATCCGCACCGGTTCCAAAGCTCCTTTATAGCTCGCGTTCTTTTTTTAAAGTTTTCTTCCTTGTCCTTTCCTGTTCCCTTTTTTGCTCCTTCGCTCGAGAATACTCGTTGCAGTCGCCCAACCAGTTGCTATACACTTAGTTAAGACCACTACGGGCTGTCTAGCGATGTCCGACACAGGTCGCGTTTGTGCTTTGACCTCAATGAGGGCCCAAGATACCCCGCATGCTGACGCCCGCTGACGCTCGACCTCAACACGCGTTCCGCAGTACCACTTCCGTTTAGAACTGTGCTGAGTATGTAGGGTATGCCTCCAAAGCCTGGCTGGCTGTGAGACAGTTATACATCGTTAAAGGCATGACAGCAGGACATCAGAGGATATTCGGGGATTGCCCACCCCTTTCTGACTTCGACCGCGTTGCCGCAGTAGCACCTGCAGAAGCGTCGTATCGTCTTTGCCTTTGTCGGCGTGATGACTACGGAGATGCCTGCCTGTCGAGTCACTGGCTGATACGTGGGGTGCGTAGAATGTGCAAGTAACTAGCCTCTGCAAATTGTCCGGTCGATAATACTCACGCTTTGGGTCAGTGCAGAACGGGCATGAATAGCCCAGCGAGTTGTGAACCCAAGCATGCTTGACCAGGTCGTTTTTACGCTTGAAGCTTCGCGGGCAATCCTTGAACGTACAGTGAAATGGACGCGTGGACGAACGTACAACAGCGTGGGAGTCGAGAAGGGCTTGCGTCTCAAATGCTCGGCCCGTGCAGCCATGAAAGCTGCAAATGAAGGCAAGGCCAAGCGACTCTGTACCGCTGGCAGCGCTATCTAGAGTCGGTGTTGTCGGGAGGGGCGCACCATTGGACCTTATGGCGTTGGCGGGACTATGGAGGGGATTGGCCTGATCAACTGCGGTGGCTTCAGCTATTCGGGCAGGGCTGAGACTGAATACCGAATCTGGACCCGGGCTCGGCGACGGGTTCGATTCTCGGACGGAAAGCCTCCAAAGGGGGTGTCCCCTCCCGTGTGCCCGAAGCGCACGCCATGACTGTGTCATGGTCTGGAAACAACGCGAGTACCTGGCTATCGTTCCTCCGGGGAGGACTTGATGCAAGCTCTGTACTGTAGGTGAGAAAGAGCTCGCCAGAAGGCGGCTGCTGGGCTGACAATGGCGAGTGATGCACATGTGTAGGACTGTACTGATGAACTCGATGGCTGCGCCGAAATTGGGACTCGCCTGTAGTTACGGGCAGAGCTCGGTGGGCCAGAAACCCCTGTATCGTACTTGCGGCTGAATGCCTGCACGCCGGAAACGATTATTAGCTGGTAGGGGCTATTCTGTGCAAGCGAGCATGCTGGCCGCGGTGGGGTTAAACCCCTAACCAACAACTCGTTCACTTGATTTAATGCCTACAGATCGTCATGTCACCCCCTCCTGGTATGGATGCGCCTTGCTTTTTCTCAGCTGGTGCACGCTGGTGGGTTCGGGGCCACCGCCGCTGGATCTTCCACACACGTTCATTGGTCGATGCCACTGGCGGTAATTTCTTGACACCGTCGCTGTGAGGGGTGTGGCGCGGAAGTGAGTCTGGCTTGCGAAAGGCATCTGTCGGCTCGCATCCCGTCCGACGAGCCGCGATACCCCTGGAGCAGCCCTGCCCCAGACTGAAACGTCTCGCTGACAATCAACAGACGAGATTGTGTCTTGGACTTGAGAAAGTATACACGATGATCCCACAGCATACCCCTCGTCATGGAATCGGTCACTGCCGGTGGGTAGAGCTCGTATATCCAATTGAGACCTGATTTGGGATATACTGTACTTCATGATTCTTAGCTTCATAAGCAGGGGGCCTACCAGATCGGCCCAGATCGGCCCAGATCGGACAGATTACGATGATGACCCGGCCCATCCACGTGCCTGTAGACGCCTTCAATTACCAGTTACCCTTCGTGGACCTACGGTGCTTCTGTCCTGATGGAACTTAGTAAGTAGTCCTGGATTGGCTCTCACCATCAAACACACATCTTTAATGGCTCCCCAGGGGGAGGGATATACAGACCCCGGTTACATGGCAATTCCCCACTTCTAACCTGCCACGCCTCCTCAGTTTCAATGCCCCGACTTGCTCTAGACCAACCATCACCTCTCCTTCCGTCGCCTCCCTCTCTGCGCGAGGCAGAACCTTGTCATCTTGCACCCTTACCATCCGTCCAGAGTTAGTGACGACGGTGAAGGCGGTGCCTCAATCTCCCACAGTGACCAATCCAAGTCGCGACGCGGGGTGTCATTCGCCTCCGCACGCGGAAAACTGAGACCGCTATTGTTGCTGACCGTATGGCGTTCTGGGCACTGAAGCGAGCTCTGACGTGTTGAGCACACTACGCGCGCCGGTTTTCGAGCCACAACAAAGCAAGAGGCGTTTCTGATCCCCGGCGGATATGCGGATATCCATACAATTGATAGATTGGCTCGATTCGCGTCGGCATTTCGCCGCCTGGCTCTGTCTTGACCGGCCTTGGCCATTACAGGATCGCGCATCATCATCGACACCGGGGGTCCACCCACCCTAACTTACGGGTGAAACATGAGCCGCGCTGCTGGTACGAAGAATGCTCGCACCCACTCACTGGAAGGCGCCATGACGTTAGCGCAAGACAGCCCGGCGAGTTCATTGCTGATATTTGCATATCCTATTCGACGAGTTGCAAAGTCGCGTCCCATTCCCTGACTTTGAAACAAGACCGGCAAGGAGGTGATGGCCGACAGCTTGTGGAACCTGCGCCAGCAAAACTAATAGAACAATTGCGCGACGACAGATGGCGAAAAGACCATATTGATTAGGCGGAGTGGCGACGGGCCGTTGCGGTGGCTGCTATACTTAGTTCCCGAACAAGGCTGCTTTTCCAAATGACAAACAAGCGACCGATCTACAGCTACGATAGTGACTGCGGTGATCGTAGCTCTGGCATCCTCCCCGAGGCCCCGGTTCTTGGGTCACTAGCTGCTACTACTGCAGGTGGGATGAAAAAGTAACTTGCGGACGGCAGGCGGCCCCTTCCCCCATGTCTTACACTTGGCGTCGTGGAATATGTGGGTGGTGCGGCATTTTGGCCTATCAGAGCCACCCACATCTGGGGCAGCCAGACCTGTCAGAAAAGCAAGGTCTCCTACTTCCAACCAAGACTTGTTTATTTCATGTTGATTCCGCCCATTCGTCTGGCCTTGCCGTAGAAGCCTACCCAGTTCTTGTTTTGAGAGCTTGATCGTCAGCTTTCACTGCTAAACAGTCAACCATCGTTGCCGTGCACCGTCCGAAATCGACTGTCTCGCCGCCGCATCTGCACTGTTGCGGACAACACGTTGCACTTTATCTGGTGCTGCGCTGGACTGTGCAAAGTCAGCAGTCTCCTACAGAAAGGTCAGAACGGAATCCGGACGGTTGCAGGGCTGGTAACGGAGGTACTGGTTGGGGGTTCCTGTCCAACACCAGTCAATTATCCTACAGGTGCTCGCCCATGGTCGACGACGGATGGCATCAGGCCAAGCGGCGCAAGTCCGTGGCGCCGTCGCGGAGCAGCGAGTTTGCGAGCACAGCCCACATGCAGAAGCCGCAGCTCGACCGCCGTCATATATCTGGAGTGAAGCAAACTGCAATGTTAGATCAGTGTCAGCAATGGGCGCCTCTGCCTTTACAACCGCCTGCCCTATGGCATCTGTCTCACCGGCAAGGGCAAACGACTGAGCATGACCCCGCCTCAATCAAAACCCAGGAAGAATTAGAAACGCGCTGGTGGGAGTCGTCGCTACCTTCACCCTCTCCCTCCGACGGTATCTGCGCCGCTCCCCTTCCTTCTTCTCCAATCATGAGGTAGACACGAGACCTAACTTGTCCAGATGCCTCGGCGTTGCCCGGACCAGGTGAGTAGCCTGCGTTGCGCCTCGCACGCCTTGATTGTGTTGGCTCTGCAAGATTTAATGGCCCACGACGGCTTTCTTGTACCCTGCGCCACCTATTACCTGGTCACCTGTCCGTGGAGATAACCAAACGGCCCGAAACTTGCCCATCGCCAAGCATTCGGCTGACCCTCTGCTTTTTAGTGTTTTGCAACGAATACACTTCCCTCCCTGCCGATACGCCTGCAGGACCTTTGCCAAACCAATGGCCCGGATCAAGCAGAGTACGAGCGCGGGCGTTTCCAGTGCCCACAAACGTTTTGCCGGGACTATCTGGCCCACAGACGAGAGAAGAGCGCGGCTGCGGCTCTATGGGTGCCCCGATGCTCACAAGCCCGTTCAAAGACTGTTTGGGTTCATTCGGGAAGGGCAATCAACTCAGCTTTGCCCGGCCTCAAGGTGGCAGAATCAATGGGTATATCAAGTTCAATTGGCCCAAAAGCAAGCAGGACATGGGTGCCTCAGTACAGGATCTGGCACCAGGACGAGCCACTGCCATAACTTCCGTCACGTCTATTGCACATACCAGCACGCCGTTTTCGGTGGTACTTTCATCCTCAATATCGGACCGTGCGGTGGTTTCCGCCGCCGTCGCTGGGCCTGCGCTTGGAGTTGACACCAATGCTCACCCAAATACGCGGAAA